TTTTTTTTTTTTTTTTTTGTTACCTTATTTTTTTTTTAATAAATAGAAATAGAATTGAGTTACTAAATGCAAAAATAAAATTCAAATGAGGTTTTTCGATCATGACCGTTCTTTTAGCCATTGCAGCACGTGTTACCGTTGACCCAATAAGGGAATAGGCTAGATGATCAAGTCGAAAAAAGAAAAAAAAAAACAAGTACACTTCATTTTGTTGTAATCAAAGTTGACACCCTTATAAAGAGATGGTTCGTTCCCTTCTCGAATCGATGTGGAAAACTCTCTCTAACAATCGCGTTTTAAAATCATGAAGCCGACAACAATACGTAACGAGTCAAAGCGGACAATATCTGCTAACAGTAGGCTTAAATTATTACAAATGATATTATAATTAAAAAAATCGGGTAGTATGTCAGTGAGGACGCTAGGTCTCAAGGGGGTGGATTGTCAAGTCTGACATCTGTTTAAGAAAAAAACGAAGCATCTCTTATAGAAGTGTGAAAATTTCTCTCTAACGAACGCATTTTTTAACCACGGAACTGACAACAACACGAAGTAAGAGAAGGGAAGGGAAGAGGATAATAAAAAAATGATTGGTAGGAGAGAGGGAGAGGGTGGAAAAAGTGGATATCATTATTGGAAGAGAAAAAGAAGGAAAAAGAAGGGGGGGTTTGTCGTGGCATGATTGTCCAAGAATACCGGCTTTCAAATTGGCACCCAAAGTGACCCGTAGTGCCGACGAGCTGCCAATGGCCCAGCATTTAGCCACGTAAAGTGGACTACTTTAGGTGCCATCATCGTCTCCTTCCAAAATCCCAATAATTTTCAAACTCCCCTACAAATGTTATTCAAATTATGGGTCTTAGTATTTTTATTTTTTACATTTATTCGTTAAAATAAAATTTCCAATGCTTGTTTTTTCTCTTGCATTTTATTTCTATATTTAAAAAATAAAAAAAATACTTTTTTTTTTTTATTTCTCTTCTTTTTCAAAGTGGAAATTAGAAATATTGTCTATTCCTTATAAAATAAAATAATTACAAAACCTCTTAAAAATTAAAATTTAAATATTTAAAAAATGAACGAGCTCGAATTAGATATCGTCTCTTACAGACATTTAAAACTATAATATTGTAATAATAATTTTAAAAAAAAGTTTAAAAAAAACCATATAAATGGTAAACTTAATTATAATTTGTTATTTTCTTCATTATTAAATATTTAATATTTAAATTCATTAAACTCTGCCTTCTATTTATGTGAAATAAAATTAAAAATGTCATGCGCACGGGTAATAATGAATAAATAAATAAATAGATATAGATTAGTATTTTTGTGGTCACAGTATATTTTATAAATATTTAAAATAAATTCCCCTTTAAATGAATATGAGCCGCTAAAAAAGTTATCTTTTGTTGATATGACTATTCATGTACGATCTTATATTAATAGGAACGACGTTTCCTTTATTAAAAGGGCAAGATTCCTTTACTTTTACGAAAACTCTTCAAACTTATGAACATTAAAGAAAAAAAAAAAGTTAAAATTTAACTTTTTATAAAAGCACATTCAATAATCGAGAGAAATCACATGGGGCGTTATAACATATGCAGTAATAATAATAAAAATAAAAATTAATATAAATGAACTTTAATAGAAATATTGGCTAATTCATATTTTAAATACTACCTCGAGACTAGTGAAATATGGCTTCATTTTTTGTATAGTCTATACCATAGGTTAATTTTATTAATACATTATATTATATCCAAATATGTCTTCCCACTTAAACGGGAATCCATCCAATTTCATTTGGATCATTCCTTCCACAAAAAATAAATATATACAAAAATAAAAATCATTCCAATCATTATTATAAGCTTTTTCACAAAAATTATAAAACAACATTTCATAAAAATGGGTACAGAATCAAATATTGTCGTACTACGTGTTACACTAAAGATCCATATTAAAGCATCTTTTTCTCTTTATGCAAACACTATAAAAGCAGTATTTAGACTATTATGATGCGGGATCCAAATTTAAATATTAATAATAATAAATGATGCATTACCTTTTGTTATGGTAAACTATATGATAATTAAATAATATAGTTATGTAGTTAAAAGAAGTTTATTATACGTTAAATTTTTTTTTATCATTTATTCAATAATTAATTAGTTTTTGGGTTTGTTTGAAAATTTAATATTTTAATATTTAAAAAGTATTTTTACACTTATTTTTCATAATTTTTTAAAAATGTTTTCATAATTAAAAAATTATCGTGTCAATAATTGGAATTTGTAATAATATTTTATAAAGAATTATATAATTTCACACGCGACAACTTTAATTAAAGCTAATATCCTATGATTGAATCGTGCACAACAAGGAAATTCGAAATTTGAAATTCGAAAAAGACACAAACACATTATAACTAATATATATATTGTAAAATAAGTAGAAAATTTCCCAACCACAAGTAAACGTGTACATCTCAATAGCCACGTGGATGGGCCACGTATGAGATTTAGAAATTATGTAGTGCCCATTTGGCTCCTGACCCATGATTGCTTGGTCGTGTGGCATTTTCCCTCCTTATTATATATATATAAAAAAATCACCTTATTATAGAAAAAGAAGAAGCTTGGTTAGTGAAATGTCGCGATCATTTTTACTGGTGTACGAAAATAAAGGAAAAATTATTGACTGTTCTTTCACTTTGGTAATTACCCCGATAAATTAAACATTTAACTTTAAAGCTGGAGCTAAAGTAGTTACTGTATGCATGTGTGACATTTTTATGCAAAAATCTTCGTTTTAAGTAATTCATAAACGATGTCATGAACTTAAATGTTAAAACAATATAATATGACATTCAACTCTTTCGAGTCAGATCAAGATAAGGTGGTCTTGAGCCCCTCGACCAGGATTCAATTGAGTATAGAAAAATTTAAGCTAAAGGTTGAAAGTTCATGTATCCACTTGGGTCGGTCAGTTAATCATTTAGGTTGAGTTTATGTGTTGCTAAATGAAGGAAAAAATATTTCGATCGAGTTTAACCTATTTCGGTTCAATTGAAAGAGAACGACTTAAATGCCTTGAGTCAATTTTCGAATGAATAGAACATTATGACACCAAATATTTTTGGGAAATTTTTGTTCGAAATTATCTCTTGTGCATTTTTGTTTGAAATTTAAATAAGTTCAAAAAAGTTAATAATTGATGAGTAAAATATCTGATCTGTCCGATGACGTGGAAATTAGGAAGGGCAATACGGGTACGGCAAAAAATTCGTCGAAAAAAACAACAAAATATGAGTACGTGGTGACAGGTCAGCACGTTTAATTATTAAAACGACAGTACCTTACACTAATTGGAGCACACTGTAACGAGTATGAGAGAGCGTAATAAAATTCAGAATCCCATATTCTTGGTATCATCCACGTGTCGGGATTCGTGTCAGATTTGACGGAAACACCCGTGAACGCCCTGTGACTTTAGTGGATCAACGTGGCACCACCATCGGCCGTTGGAATGAGCAATTCACCAGAGAAGATATTCTGCGCCGTTGGATATTTGTGTGAGAAGAAGAAGCGTGAGCTCATTGGAAGACGAAAAGGCTAAGAAGCAGTACGTTGCCAGACATGGCGTTAAATCCATGGATTTTTAATTCGCCAACTCTCACTATAAATACGTCGCGTTTCTTCATGCCATTTGCAGTCCCATGGTTCATTTCTTCTGATTTCGTTCTACTAAGAGCAACGAAGAAAATTCCTGCTTCTGGTAATATATTTTCCGTTGTTCTTTAACTTGTTCTTCTTTTTGTTTGGTTCCATAGGAAATAAATCGGTTTTTACCTCAACTGATCTTGAATTTTCCATCTCCTTTCATATCTTAGAGTTTTCGTATATTACGCCGAGACGGCGTTTGTCGGTGAAAGCCTGTAAGGTAGATTGATTGACGAACTCTGAACTGGATAAATAAGTTCATAACATACTTTTTTTCGGATTTTTCGTATCTGTAATCTGATATTAGATGGTACAAATCTGAAAATCTAGGAACGCCGGGAAAATAATCAAACAAGAAACTCGAACGAAACAGAACTAGAAAAAGAGTTAAAAACCAAAGAAATGACGATCAAACCGGCGGTGCGGATCTCTGAACGTAAGCTCATCGTGAAAGATCGGACGATCCTGACGGGAGTACCTGATAATGTTATCGCGACGTCCGGTTCGTCGTCTGGACCGGTGCAAGGGGTGTTCCTCGGGGCGGTTTTCGAGGAGGAGCAGAGTCGGCAGGTGGTTCCGTTGGGAACCTTGCGGGATGTCCGATTCATGGCGTGTTTTCGGTTCAAGTTATGGTGGATGGCCCAAATGATGGGCGATAAAGGGAAGGAGATTCCGTTAGAGACGCAATTTCTGTTACTGGAGACGAAGGATGGGTCCCACCTGGAATCGGACGATGGAAATGAAGAGAATCAGATCATTTACACAGTGTTTCTCCCTCTGATTGAAGGATCTTTCCGAGCCTGTCTCCAAGGCAACGGACAAGACGAACTCGAGCTTTGCCTAGAAAGTGGTGATGCAGACACCAAAGCGTCGTCGTTTACACACTCTGTGTTCATCCACGCCGGAACCGATCCGTTCGACGCCATCGCCGACGCGATGAAAGCCGTGAAACTCCACCTCAACACCTTCCGATTGAGGCAAGAGAAGAAACTACCTGCAATCGTTGATTATTTTGGATGGTGTACATGGGATGCCTTCTATCAGGAGGTTACTCAAGATGGCGTTGAGGCCGGACTGAAGTCTCTCTCGGATGGCGGAGCGCCGCCGAAGTTCGTGATCATCGACGACGGATGGCAATCAGTCGCCGGCGATCCAGAGGAGGAGAACGAGGAAGGAGGCGAGAAACAACCGAAGCAGCCGCCATTGCAAAGGCTAACCGCGATCAGAGAGAACTCGAAGTTCCAGAACAAGGAGGATCCGAAGGAAGGAATTAAGAACATAGTGAGCATCGCTAAAAACAAGTACGGATTGAAGTATGTGTATGTATGGCACGCGATTACTGGATATTGGGGAGGACTACGCCCTGGCGTTAAGGATATGGAGGAATACGGATCGTTGATGCAGTATCCGAAGGTATCCAAAGGTGTTTTTGAGAATGAGCCGCTATGGAAGACCGACGCGTTGGCTTTGCAAGGATTGGGGCTGATGAATCCTAAAAGCGTTTACAAATTTTACAATGAACTTCACAGTTACCTCGCCTCTGCCGGAGTCGACGGAGTCAAAGTTGACGCACAGTGCATATTGGAGACTCTCGGCGCCGGGTTCGGTGGCCGAGTCGAGTTGACTCGGCAGTACCACCAGGCTCTGGACGCGTCGGTGGCTAGAAATTTTTCAGACAACGGCATTATTGCTTGTATGAGCCACAATACAGATGCTCTATACTGGTAAGTGAACTAGAATTCTCAATTTCTTGGTAGCTAATTCCGAATGAGAGTGAAACCATTTTGATGTTGGTGGTTTTGTTTAATTTCAGTGCGAAACAGACGGCGGTTGTGAGAGCTTCCGATGACTTCTTCCCCCGAGATCCGGTGTCGCATACGATTCACATAGCAGCAGTGGCTTACAACAGCGTTTTTCTTGGAGAGATTATGCTGCCTGATTGGGACATGTTTCATTCCCTTCATCCTGCCGCTGAGTACCACGCTTCAGCTCGGGCGATCAGCGGTGGCCCTGTTTATGTCAGGTAATCATAATTGTTTCTAGCCATGGTCGACAGATATTTTGAATTAAATTAATATCTGCTTTTATCATTTTTATACCATCGAAATTAAATTTAAGTGGTTGAGATTTGAAGTATGTTCTAAGTAGAGACATGAAATTTCAAAGCCCTTATTATACACGGAATTATTTAAGCTTAAAGATAAGGTAGGGTGCTAGTGAGACATCTATTATAAGTAAAATATCTATTATTAGAGGTCAATAAGGTACCAGTAAGACATCTATTGTAAGTAAAACATCTATTATTAGAGCTCAATAGTCTTATCAGTAAAACATCTATTATATTTTTCTTTTCATTAAAGTAAAGTGATATGTGATAAGACAACTTTAAAAGATGAGTTTCCAATAAGATCAGATTCTACTAAATACAAGAAAATATTATAAGTTTAGGCATCTTATTTCTCGAAAGAATCTATTATATACTTCCAACCCATTAAAGTTGGGTTATAACTGATGAGGTAGAAACAATCTTATAAATTTAGGGCCAATAGGTTGATCAGTAAGTTTTCTATCATATTCAAAGCTTAGGGGAACCATTTAAAGCTCATTAAAGTACAAAACTGGATAAGTTTAGGACCAGATTTACGTTTTCAACATGTTAATCGGGATGTTTTATTTTTCCCAACAGTGATGCTCCGGGGAATCACAACTTCGAGCTTCTGAAGAAATTAGTGCTACCTGACGGCTCAGTGCTCAGAGCACGCTTGCCTGGACGGCCAACACGGGACTGTTTATTCTCAGATCCAGCACGAGATGGAGTTAGGTGGGTGTTTTTGATTTGGATTTGAATACCCTTTCTATTTTTTCCATCACTTTTTGGGACATTGTTCTCCCCACAGTTTGATGGAGTTGAGTGGGTGTTGTTGGTTTGGATTTGAGTGCCCTTTTTTGGGACTTTTCTTTTTCTTTTTTGTCGTTTTGGTACCTTTTCTGACTTTGAAATTTGAATCACATTCTTCAGCCTGCTGAAGATATGGAATTTGAACAAATTCACTGGGGTGGTTGGCATCTATAATTGCCAAGGCGCCGCCTGGAACAGTCGAGAAAGAAAGAACACTTTTCATGACACCAACTCTGATGCCCTCACCGGCTACGTCAAAGGACGCGACGTTCACGCCATTTCTGAAGTTGCGGCGGATTCCGATTGGAATGGCGACTGTGCATTCTACCGCCATCTCTCTGGGGAGCTCGTCACTCTTCCTTACAATTCAGCACTTCCCGTTTCTCTTAAAGTCCTCGCCTTCGACGTCTTCACCATTACCCCGATCAAAGTTTTGGCACCTGGCTTCACCTTTGCTCCCATCGGACTCATCGACATGTTCAATGCCGGCGGTGCAATCGAAGGGTTGAAATACGAAGTGAAAGTTGGGTCTGAGCTTGCGGAGAACCCGAGCTCCGAGTTGGTCGGAATTGTTCACTTGGAAGTGAAAGGGTGCGGGAGGTTCGGTGCGTACTCGTCGGCAAAGCCACGGCGGTGCACGGTGGATTCGAGCGAAGTGGAGTTTGGTTATGAGCCTGAGTCCGGTTTGGTGACTTTCGGAATAGACAAATTACCGGAAGGTGATCTTAAAGTTCACGATGTTAAAATTGAGCTATGAATTTTATGGATAGGTGCAGATGGTATGATTAGGTGCCGGTTATAGGCTTCCCTTTGTATTGGGCTGGAGAATCTTGTAATATTATGTGTGGATTGGAATCTAAAATAACTCTCCTTCCTTATCTATGAGGTGCAAACTGCAAGCATTGTGTCAAGTAACTTCAAAGTAAAACAATATGGACTTCATCATTTGATCACCAAGTTCAAAGTGAACACTTAATTTTTAAAATTTGAACAAAAATATTCTAAATGATCAATGAGTTAAAATTGACTCATAGTTGATCGGTCGCAATGTTAAATCACATGATAAGTGGCTCTTTTCTTCCCTTGTCTGGTGTTTTTTCCTCACACTCGCCCCTTATTTTCCTTCACCACCCGTGTCTACATGAACGGGTTCGTTCACAAAACGAACAACTATGCATGACATAATCTCAAATCAATTAAAAAAACATCGTCATGTCATTTTTCGTCAACCTGCGGTTGCCAGCCACAACAGCCTTGAAGACGATAAATAACGAGCCCTTGTTCGGGTTTTCATATCCTATAGGCTATAACCTAATCGGCGATTCTGTGGTTAATTTATTTGTAAGAACACAAATGTTGAAGTAGGAGCCTAAATAATCGACCCATGGTAAGATAAAAAATGTTTGAACTGTAGAAAAGCAAGTAATGGCATGTCCTGTAATCTGACAGAACAATTCTACTAAACCCAAATGAAATATGTTCAAACAAGCATGTGATAAATATATAGATAGAATAGCTCAATAATGTACCGCAATTTATGTACAAGGTGTACCAAACTGCTTCCTAGAATGTAATACATATGATCACAGAGTTCAGTCTATTCTAGTATCTAATTTCAAGGATGAATTACACAATTGTCTTAAATGGTACAACAGATGTTAACCTAATGCCAAAGTAGAACCCCTAAAGAGAGATGTCACATAGCAACTTATGGACAAGAAAGCCAAACAGATCTAAACAGAGACTAATATTCCATCCTTACCAGGGCATTAGAGACTTCGGTTAGTCCACCCTGCATCCAGTCCTTGGAACATATCATCGCTTCTACGGTTTCGGGACGCAGGGAGCTGCGATACTGATCCATTTTCTTCCTTCTGGTAATAAATACGGAGTCGGGAGTAAGGGTAGAAACTGGAATAGACAAGATATCACGAGCCATCTTCGAAAGAGTAGGGTACTTGAACTTGTTCAATTTCCACCATCCCAATAGATCGAAGTCTTGCACACGAGGTAACAAAGAATCTTCCAAATATCGATCGAGCTCGGACTTCATCTGTTGGCTGGTGGTCTCCATAATGTAGACATCAAAATCTGAAAATCCGTTGTCTGACAGAAGGTTTCCCTGAGAATCTTCTGCCTTCATGTTGCCCTCAGCACTTCCATCTTCAGCATCGGTTGGGGTTAAGGGTAGAGGCAGCGCCACATATTCATCAAAGAGCTCATGAATTCCATCATCAACAACCTTGATGTATGCAGGAGCTTCTTCACCATAAACTTTGGTGAAACTAAACTCAACAAGTTTCATCTTGAACCGAGGATCCATCACGACAGCAGCTGCCAGGACTATGCTGCAATCTTTCCAATATTTATCGACCTTTTCTAGCATCATTTTACTAAGGCTGCTTGTGAAGGGATCCTCGCTCGTAACTGCCCGAGCCAATTCGGAATGAATTCTACATACTTCGTGAAAGACGGTAATGGCAGATGGGTGAGATGTTGTGGTAAGGATATTTGCTGCATCAAAAAGAAGTTTCAGGTATGTGCAGAGAATATCGACCAACTTCCAATCTTCCATTGATGGAGCTTCCCTATAATCAGGATCAGAGGTATCCAAACAGGAAAATACTTCTTTCATCTCAGAGGCAGCCACCAACATATGGTAAGTTGTATTCCATTGCATTTGATCATCAAGAACGAGATTTCTCTCACTAGGCACTTGAAGTTGTTGCTTAAGCTCTAAAAACTTTTCCTCATGAGAATCTGAAGTTGTCACATATTTCACGCTGTCCCGAATTTTCCTTATCGTATTTTCTCCTGCACTTAATACATCTTTTGCGATGTCGCCTAGAGTCAAGGCAATACAACTTCCAACTAAAAACTGACCATTGAGAATAAGGGGGTTTTTGATGGCAATTAGGGGCCTGAGATTGTCAAGGGCAGCTTCATTCTGTATTTGATTAAATGTAAGAGAGAATAACTTCCCTTCTAATCTCCAATCAGAGAGACACGCAGCAACGGCATGGCTAAGTGCAGTAGGCGATTCTGGATATGGTTCCATTATTACATTCAAAACACGTCTGTGCAACTTCCACTCGCTATCAATAAAACTACCCATAATAAACACATAACCTACTGATCGACTAGAATGCCACATGTCAAGGGTAAGGCATATACGTCCAGGGATGGCTTCTATAAACTTGCTTAGATTTTGCTTCTCCATTAAATATGTTCCAACACAATCCCCTTGAACAGTGTTGAAGCTCACCATGTTGAATCGAGGCTGAAGGTTCTTGACAAATGATATAAATCCAGGATGCTCAACCATGTGAAGAGGATAGTCATGCATGATAACCATTCGGGCAATGTCTTGACGGCAACGATCGTGATCAAACATAACATAAGGTGAACTGGAAGTTCTATACCGCCTTTTAGGTGTCTCACTGACAGTACTACCTCTTGAAGGTGGGGTATATGTAGCCACCAACTGATTCTTGTCCTGACCACGCAAAAGTGCAGAGCAAGTTCCTTTGGCAATGTGCCGCTTCAAATGGCTGGTGCCAGCAACTTTTGATCCAGTACTATATGCAAAACTTTGCTTGCATTGCTTACAGTACGCCCGTCTGCAATCGGGACTCACAGACTCTATGGTGAAGTGTTCCCAGACAATAGACTTCTTTTTCCTCCTCTTGTTAGGCTGTGTTTCCACCAAAGCTAGGTCATTATGTCCATCTGGTGATCCCAGCTTTCCTGTATCAGGAGTTTCCATTAATTCGTCCTCAGGAGTTCCCATGTTTTCCCCATTTGGAGTCATCACATTATGGTCTTCATCATGATGAATCACCATGATCTCTTTGCCCGAACTTGCCATGTTTTCTTCATCAGGAGTTGTCATTTCGTCTGGGAAAATAATTTCCTGTGCAAAAAAGCAATAAAATTAAACAAAGATCTAAGGCACATATCCTTAGAGTGTTAACAATTCTAAAACTCCATATAAAGCAGAAATAAGACAACAATTTGAACAAGTTAAAGTGATAGAACATATGTTTATCTTGCTTGACTCGTGGATCAACACGCGGCAATCCTAACAATGAATGCTTCTTTATCAAACAAATTAAATGTGCTGCTAAGAACAGCGATACAAGCTAAACCCAGCCAAGGAATCATCAAAGACATGATCAACGAATTTTCGCCCTGAAATCTAAGCAAGGCGATGAATATATTATTTGAATAGACGAAGCACATCAGAGCAATAAAAGAAAAAGGAGAAAACTTCATCCCAGCTCGCAAACTAAATTAATGAAAACGATTAAGATCGCCGTATTTGTTTTTTTATAGAACAAAAAGAAAAAACCCATCTGCCCATTTGTCATATTGCGAAGTTGGTAAAACGCTGGCAGAAAAGGAATCGAATAGCTACAATTGTAAGTCGGGCTCGAACCCATGAAACAAATTAAAGACAGAATACCATTTTTCCAAACCCAGGAAGAAAAGGGAACCGAAGAAGATCTGTCTCCATCCTCATTTTGATCAGATTTGTGAAAACCCCCAAAAAGCCCAACCGACGGGGTCAGTTTTTGACATATAGCTTGAGAGAGGCGCGAGAAGGAGGGTTCTTAATCTATGAAACCCTTTAAAGAAAGGGGGAAACGATGAACAAACTCCAAACCCGAAAATGGGCTTGGTTTGGGCCCACTAAAGAAATCGGGTTGAATTGGAATGAAAAGACATTCGGCCCACCTAGAAGGCATCTTCAAAACTGGGAGATTCCAGTTTCCAACCAAATAATGGAGTCCACATGGATGAATCGTGAGGCTAAAATAGGCAATATTGAAAAAAATATCTAAGGTGGGCTGGGAACAGTAGTCGAACCAGACGAGTTTTCAGATCTAGGGTTTGAAGAGGATTTGGGCATTTCAAGCCCAGCAACCAAAGGTTTAATGTGAAAAACCCACCAAACAGAAAATTTCGAACAGAGAATCATCCAAACACAAACAGAGATCAAAATTCCAGAACTCAAAACTTCACCGGACCAACAAATAAAAACAGAAGAAATGAATTGCCGCTATTTCCCACCCAAAATTCCCCATCCCGACATCATCAGAAAGAAACGAAAACACAAAATTCCGAATTCAACAACTCCAGAAATCGAGATTCCATCGAACTGAAACTAAAGAAAGTAAACGAAAAGAGGGAAAACATAATCTTCTTCGTCGATTTCAAAATCATCTCATCCCAAAAAGAGCTCGGATTTTACCCGTGGTTTCGAAAGAGATCCAAGAAGGCTACGAGATCCACGAAGCGAACCGAGCTGGCCTGGTCAGGCTTGAATTCCGGTCCGGTAGCCGATGGAGCCTGAAAAATTTGCAGCGAAAGAGAGAGAATCGGAGATTGGGCTTCAAAAAAACCCGAGTTGGTAATTGGACCTTAGTTTAGCACAGAGGCACACGGTTTGGTAGATTAGGGATTCGAAGAAGACTTCCCTTCTTTCACCTTTTTTTTTAATTTTGGGCACTGGACTTCGGGCAGCTCGGTCCATCGGCCTTATTTTACTTTTCCATTTTCTTTTTTCTTTTTTATTTTTAATGCTAATAAATATATTTTCATTTATATATTCTTCCTTCTCTAAACTGGACCCGAAAGCCCACAACTCTCTTCTCCTTTGGGCCGGTACACAAACAGGCCCACCAAATCTTATGGACTACTTATTAAGTAGGCCCCACTTCGGCTACGCCCATATGGCCCGGATTTAGCACCGATCCAAAGGTCCATATTATGCCTCTGATATGGTCGGATAAATCCAACCCGTTGGATCAAAAGCAAAAAAAACACGTATTTCTAAATTTTAAAATGTATACCTATTTGTTTCATAATTATAAAAAATATATATATATAATCATCTTATAACATTTAATTTTATGCCAGGTAGATAGTTTAATAATTTCCTAATTTGAGATTTGAATTTGTTTTAATACGTTACGTTCATATTTGTCAAGTTTAGAGTTCTATTAAACGGTAAGTTTTGAACCTATTTCCTTACATAATTTTCTAAACTGGTTTCTTAAATTCATACCACAAATACACGTCTCATAAGTTCAAATTACTTAACTCGCTCTAATTAAACTCACTAAACGTTATAATCAGACTTTTATGATTAAAACATAACGTATGATTCTAGTATGCCGCTCGAGAATGATACAAAATGAGGAATAATATATTTTATTTTGGGTACTTTCTTATAAAGAAAGGTGGTTGCATTTCTTCTTTTAAACATTTGATTACAAATAAAGTCTTTTTTTATTTTTATTTTTTTATTGTCATGTCTTTTGTGTGTGTGTGTATATATATGTATATATATATATTTGAAAGAAAGCCAAGAAAGAAGGGATTTGGATGAATGGTGGAAGGCAAGTGATGAATTGGAAACGGGAGAGGTTTTTATTGGTTGAATAAAAAAAAGTAAATAAATAAATAAATAAAGGTTGAATAACAGTTGTTGGCATGTGTGTTTGGTAGATAGTGTCAGTAATATACATAATGTGACAAAACAAATACATGCATTTCCATGCAACTGTCCCCACCATTTCACACGTGCGCACCTACAACCCTCCAATCATCTCTACTCTTACATTTATTTATTTTAATAAATTTGTACTTCCAAACTTTTAATATAACAATATTAATCTTTTAATTTTTTTTTTTTGAAAATTCACTAAAGAAAATAATATCATATTGCAAAGTTATTTAAAATTTTATTTCTGTATTAATTGAATTTAAAAGTTTAAAACTTTAAATTAATAAATTTGTAAGATTTTTATATTAAAATTTTGCTAGAATGAACACGACTCTCTACAATAGTATGATATCAATCCACTTTGAGCATAAACTCTTATGGTTTTGCTTTGGGCTTCTCTCGTAGGCCTCACACCAATGTAGAGAGTGTTATTTGATTATAAACTCATGATCATTCTTTAAATTAGTCGATGTGGAACTTTCATCATCCAACAAACTTAACATTTTTAAATAAGTGATCAATTTATGTGGGTAAAGTGTCGATAATATATTAGATTAGTGTTTAAGCAACGAGGTTAAGAGGATAATGGGGGGTAAGGTCAATGATTTGATGCACGTGAATAAAGCGAAAAAGATATTAAGATAATTGGGATATATAATAGGAATGGAGAGTAATATTAATTAGTTTAAAATGAAATAAAAGGGAGGAAAAAAACAAGATTAATAAGCTGGCCATGTCCACCACCAACCACTCCAAAGAAATATATTTATTATAAAGTATGGGGTCCATTATTATTATTATTATTATTAAAAGGAAAAAAGAAAGGGGAGTTGAATAATGGCGGTGATATCAAATCAACCGAAATATTTACATAAACCCATGGGATTAGCTACTCACAACATTATTAGAGTGGACTAACTTAGTGTTCGCCAGCTAATTAATTTATTAATCACAATTCAACCCGCTTATTAATTAAAAGGGAAAATGTGGCTTTTGACCGCTCGGTCACTCTCCCATTCCCGAGTCGAGGCATAGCAGCTCGAAAGTTTTTTTGGTAAGGAGACTCAATTTTTTCGAGTCGGGATTGATAAATAAACTTACCCTCTTCTTTCTTTTTAGTAAATAAAAGTAAATCTCTGCGGAAAGACAACCGGTGAAATGATTTAAATCTATATCTTTTAATTGAAATCATATAATTTACCAAAAACTATAGAAATCACATGGGTAGTTTAATTATTCTTAAAAAAAACCATATTGTAAAGCTAATATGAATAATATAATTTGATGGATCATAATGTATGATTAATTTATGAAGATGTAGATGTAAGATAGAGATATAAAAGTGTGAGGGTGGCATGGAGGGGGTTGGAAGTGGTCCGAAGGGCGACAAAGCGACCTCCGTCCTGGAAAGACGGGGGTGTACTGTCACACGCACACATGTTCCCACTGTGGGGTCTCCCCCATGTGATTACACCCTTTCTTTACCCGCCCTTTGGAATCACCCAAGTTTATGAAATAACTTCAACGGCTCCGTTATTTATTTATTATTATTATTACTATAAGATATTTTGTAATACAGGATCATAATTTAATTTATTAATTAAAAAAATGAAAATATAATAAAGTTAAATAAGGAAATTTTAGCATTAATTTGTCCTTATTCACCCATCGTTTTCTCTTTGCTGTTTTCTCTTAAGGGACCCACCATTCGTAACCTCAATTTATTGGAAATTTGAGCATTATTCTAAAAAGCAATGTAAAATTATGACATCATATAACATATAATATAATTATATTATATTATTCAACGGAATTATTGGGTGTTTTTATAATATTTATTCCATAAAAATTCGGAAAATATTTTAAACGTAATAATTCAAACAGATAGTGTTACGAAAAAAAAAAAAAGAAGCACATGGAATCATGATGGTCATTAAGGCCACCTCCCAAAGCTCACATCACCAAAGAAGTGTATCTACGCGCTAAAAAAGGCGCGTGAAGGTGGACTTTTCATATCAGAAACGGACAGATCTAGCGTGGGACCGAGCGCCCTGTCCCCACAATGCCAACCGCCACCGTTAGATCCGGAAAGCTGCCATCCTAGCCGCACGTATAATTATGACATACTACAACAAACATACGTCGTTCCACACGAATTTTGTCAGGTTTTTGTTCTTTTTTATTTTTTTCCTTCGAATTTTTATAAATTCAATAATAAAATATCTCACACTACTAAAAAAAAAATTAAAATAACATTTGTTAATAAATCTCAAAATTAATTAATTTTCTCCATATTTAAATAAAAAATTACAGAAAAATGTTAATATAAATTAATTATACCAAATATTATTTAAAATATTTTTCGGGTGAAGTACAAGAACTAAGACGGTTTTTTTTTTCTTATGGTAATCTCTGTAATCACTCAGAATTAAGTCCAATATTCTTCTCGGGATTGGTGGGTAAAAAAATAAAAAATAAAAAATAAAAAATAATAAATAAATAAATAACCTCTCTATTGAATCTCTTATAAATATCACCTTCTTCTTCTTCCCCTAAAACCTATCTCTCTAGTTTCTCGCTCCTCTCCTCTAGTCTCCGCCTTCTCTCTAGGGTTCGATACCCTAATTTTTTTTTTCTTCGTTCTTCAGAAATGGCTCTGTTTGTATTCTTCCACAGCTTTCTTGAACTGCATCTTCCTGAGCCAAATTCGATCCTCTCTCTCTCGAAGCGTTCTTCGTTCATTAACTTTTGCGGTTCAATAAAGCTGTGGGAAGATACAGACAAGGTCAACGAAATCGGTAATCCAGAGCGAAATTCGCCGTCTACAATGACCTTCAATCGCCGGCGCCGTCGGTATATTTCTGTAACTTACAAAATCGTATGATGTAATTTTCCCCTTTCTTAAGCTGTTTTTGTGCGCGTTTGTTTGTTTGTTTGTTTCTTAATTTGCCTTTTCAGAAACGGTAACTTTTAGGTCAATTTCTCCCTGAATTTTTACTTGGAAATGTGAGGTTTCAATTCGATTTCGATTTCGATTTAATGCCTAATCTTCTCCGTTGATAGCAGAAACTATCTTGAATCGATTCAAGCCTGTTTTTGTTTGTTTTATTCTATTATTTATTATTATTATTTTTTTTTACTGTGACCCCATGTGTAGGTTCGATGGCAGGCAAAAACAAGTTTGTGTGAGAAAGCTTTAAAGCCATATAATATGCCTTTCGATGATGATGATGATTAATATATAATTGAAGCAGTTGGTTTCGTTTCATCAAAGGCTATGGATCTGTACTTTTACTGTGCCCGTAGATAAACCAACAGTTTCTGATATTTTAGTGCAGCCATAGAATGGATGGAGGTTGTAGGCTATAATGTTTTTCACCACTTTTTCATCCATTTTCTTTTTGTGAGTTTCTGTAATGTCAGATCTTAGTGGTGTGTGGTTGAGTTGAATTATTAAAGAGGAGAAGGATTATTCTGTGCAGCAGAGTAAATTTGAAACACCAAGTTAATTCCTATTGTAATGAATGCTCTATAGGTTTAAGGTATTAGGACCACTTATCAGAAGAAGCCTTTAATTGGCTCTTTTTTAGCTTCAAACTCCTTCAATGCACACCATACAAACCCCTTTTTTTCTCATCCTGTCATCTTCACCTATCATATTCACTTTTAATTTGTCTCTCTTTTGTTCTTTTAGTGATTCATTAATGCACAAACTTTTGCTTCTTTTCTTATTACTCTCGTGTACATAACAAGAGGCCATCGAGCCATTACTTACATGAACATTAAGTTCTTAATGTTGGATGATGAAAGTCTGGTAATTTAGAGTAATTTAGGGAATGATTATGGGTTTATAAGGCTTCTTGGGGAAGCCCAAAGTAAAGCCAATAGCTTATGCTCAAAGTATACAATATTATACGATTGTGGAGAGTCGCGTTCATCTAACATTTAGACTATCTTTTTTATTCCACTTAAATTCTTGAGTTTACTTAATGTTTAGTCCTAACTAACGTTGAAAATTGCTTTAGAACTTTACCTTTTTATATATAGTAGGTTGGTGAAGTCTAGAGCGTTTTTTTTTTGTTCTTGTAAATTACGCACCTTTTAGCTACATAAATGAAAGTTCATGCATCCGTTATTAACTTTATATAAGTTTGTTAGATAAAAGTTAAAAGTTTGATTGAAAATAATAAGGTAATTAAAAATATTGTTCAAATTGGGAAAATATTGCTTAATTTAACTCCTGTATGAATTTGGATATTTGAATCTTAAATTTAATGATCATAAAGTGAGGTGTAACATGAATTTAAGGTATAATTCATAAGATCCTAGCCAAATATTTGAATAAGAAGGTAAATTTGTTTAGAATTAAGGGTAGTTGGAGAGTTTGTTTCTTATAATTATTATTATATCTTCAAAAGGGTTAGCATTTAAAGAGTCGTTGAATGTAATGAAAATGAAGTGTTAAATGCAATTATTATTGTTATTACTATACCAGCAATTCATAAGCCCATACCCCTATTTGTTTAATTAATTAAGTAATGTTTTCCAGGTCATACATCCAACTATCTGATTAACAATTATGATGAAACATTCATTTTTTGTTTACTAATTTTTATTATCTTTTTGCCCATTGGATTCTTGTGTGAAACGCTCTCGATCTGTCGGCATCTTTAGCTTTCGGGAGAGGCCTTTAAAGTTTGATAGGTCACCATTATTTATTTAAACATGCTTATGTTGGGGATTATTTTTGTCTCATTTCTGTGACCAAATTCAACAACAGGGTTTGGATTATTTGCTTGTCTCCCCTTGCTTTTTGTTTTCATTTCTTGTGCTTTGTGAGCTTACAAATTCCAAATTTTTTATTACCCATCTTAATGCTTTATTAAATCAACAATGCACATTTCTTTTCTTTTCTTTTTTTATAATTTAATTAATTTCTAAAGTTTCATAGACTGGTTTGAAATTTATTATTTAATATAATAGGTCCAATATAATTTTAATTGTGTGTTAAATGTCATAAAATAATAGGTTATTGAATAAGGTAGTGATGGTATCAAATTTAAATTTTGTATGGGAATATGTTTTTTTTTTCTTTCAATATGGTTCATTTGGTCATACATTAATGTATAATTTAACATATATATATATAAAAGTACATCCCTAAATTTTGTTGTGTCAAGTTCCAAGTACGCATAAGCACACCATTACATTTTGAATGAGAAAAAGATTTTGTGGCAAAAAAAAGGTAGAAAATGATGTGAAAAGAGGAGAGAGGGAGGATGGTGACACAGTGAAAAATTAAAATTGAAGTAAAAAAAAAAACAATTTGTACCATTTTTTTTTACCGAATCAATTAGAAATTGTATCAATATAATTTATATTAATTATTAGTAATTACAACTTATTTTAATTAATTATATTTTAAAATCGATTACATAAAATTATTCTTATAACCAAAATTTAATACATAATTCTTTATAAATAAGTGAAAAAATAAAATAATTTAAAAAATAGAGTGAGAAATGCTTCACAGATCAATTTGGACACTCAACTAATCATTACATTATGTACAAAGGACATGGTAAAAGTCTAAAAATATTAATATAAATATTACATTTTAGTTGGAGCCAGAAACAAAACATTTTTTTTTTATTTTAAACTCTGTAACAAGTTAAAAGTAAAAAAAAAATCTATTAACAATAGCTTAGACGGTGTCACAAAAAACGAAGATGACCGTTAAAAACTTTTTTTTTTTTTTGTTTTTTACATTAACAGATAAGATAGGAGACAGCATGTGTATTTTGTGGGAGTACAAAATTACCAAATAAATGTAACAAATACAGATGAATATATATATATATATATTAAAGGTAGGATTGTGCAGATTTTGAGCCTGTCGCCCCCATGCGCCAGCCGCTTGTTGATTACTTTGTTTGAATGGCAGCAAGCGACATGAGCTTTGTTCTTCTCCTCCAGCAGAGGCAGAAGCAGAGTATTGTGTACATGAAGATGAAGATATAAACATATAATTGAAACGTAATACCTGAGCGAGACGAGGCGAAGTTAACGAAAGCGCCATGGCTTCCAGAGCTTTCTTCCAGCAAGAAACAAGAGAAAGAAGAAGAAGAAGAAGTCTGTACAATTCTGGACTCTCCCTCTCTCTCTCACATGAATGGATGCACCCATGTGAGGGTGATATATGGACACACATATTATTGTCACATGATGTGCGCTTATATGTTACCCTCTCCAATTCTGTGGGCCCATTCTACTCGGTATTCTATTGGGCCTGGGCCCGCCCTCTCTCCCTATGTGGCCCACAGCCCACTAATAATTTCCCAACAACTAATAATAATAATAATAATGAAAATTAGATTTCAGAGTCCTGCCTGACACCTCCACGTCATCCCCACCTGTTGTAACACTTTCATATTCCGGTGTTTATGTTTATTTATGATCCCCATGCTTTAAATTTCCCAAAAAGAAAAAAAAAAAATTATTATACATTTATAAACCAAAAATTTATATTTATATTTAAATTTAGTGTATGCTTTTCAATTTTTAAAAATTAAAAAAATAAAAAAAGTAAGAGGTCGCGTCTCTCATATTCCCAACCCGGATAATATGGTATTTGTATCCATGAAGATGCCCCACTATTCTGACTCCCACTCACCCTTCCTCCAAATGGCCCCACCTCAAACCACGGGCCTTATATACCCTTCCATTTATTTATTTATTTATTTCCAATTTTTAAGGGTTAATCGACTGTATTAATTAAATTTTAATTTGTTATATATATATATATACACACGTGGTTTATTGTTAAAATTAGTGGTTAAATTAATAACAATTGAATTTTTTTGCTCGAATCGAAACTATAAAATAGAAATAAAAGAAAAGGAAAAGGAAAAGGAGGGTACGTGGGTAATATTCGGCTGTTTGTGATAGTAGAGTAAGAAGGAGTAAAGGGGCCCAGAGGGGGAGTACCTAGTAGTACGTGTTCGGATCAGAGCGGCCCAGTTGTAATGTCAATGATTGATGACAAGCCTGGTTATGATGATCTGCTGCGCTCTATGTATGTACCATTTTTTTTTACCGTACGTTAAAACCATAGTTTTTCATGGGTTATTTACATTTTTACTTTCCGTAAACTTCATCTAGTAAATGAGAGAGAACATTGCTTCAACTTTGTCTCATGTTTTGTACATACTGTTTGTTCTTTTGTATTTATCATATTCTTATACATGGTTTCTAAATAAAGAATTCGAAAGTAGTAGGTGTCGATTGAGTCAACGAGTCATTGAGGGCGATGCGTCTGTGAGCCTGTGAGGAGGAGTGCGACTATGCTTGAGTACGTAATCGTGTTCGACACTTCACTCTTCGAGTTGGGGCTATAAACGTTATATTGCCTAGCGTGCTAGGTAGTGGGGTTGTGGGCCAAGGAAAGACCGAAGAAGAACACACAAGTTGGGATTGACTATTTTATTTTTTTAATGCAATCATGCTCGGTCCGAATGACTTGATTCTTCATATATATTTAACCTGTATCTGACCCAAATAGGATAAAGTCCTACAAAATCTACCTAACACGACTAGATATTCTATCTAACTCATTAGGGTTAGATGGGTTCGTGAAATTGAAATCATTAATGATAAATTAAATTAATACATTCTTATCGAAATTAATAACAACCGAAAAGGAAGTGACAGAGGCCGAATAAAACAAGCCCAGTTACTCATCTGAAGGCCCAAGCCCACAATAATTATTCCAGGCCGAAATCCAGCACTAGGTTCGTGTGGCCCAAATTCTACTGGGCCCATATTAGCCGGCTGGTCGTTAGGCACACAGAAACATATCCGACGGCCATGATTTGATTTCCTTTTTTCGAGTGCAGATGCGGATATGAATCTTTTTACTTTTATTTTTTCTTAAGCATCATATCAAAGAAATAATGTCGTGTCATGAGTATTATATAATTATTCTTGAGCAATATATGTTTGTTTGTCAAAATAAACATTAAAACGATACGCAACGAAAATACATCAATATAAACTTACAACTATATTTTAAAAACTTAGATCAATATAAAGTGATAAATATTTATCCAAATATAATACCTTAAAATTGTTTTATTGTATTAAAAAAAAAAAAAAAGATTGCGCACGCTCGTCGAGGTGGACTCCCTGACACCTGACAGTGATCCCTTTGTAATGAATTATTTTTGTTTTATTTAAAAAAAAAAAAAAAGATTGCGCACGCTCGTCGAGGTGGACTCCCTGACACCTGACAGTGATCCCTTTGTAATGAATTATTTTTGTTTTATTTAAAAAAAAAAAAAAAGATTGCGCACGCTCGTCGAGGTGGACTCCCTGACACCTGACAGTGATCCCTTTGTAATGAATTATTTTTGTTTTATTTAAAAAAAAAAAAAAAGATTGCGCACGCTCGTCGAGGTGGACTCCCTGACACCTGACAGTGATCCCTTTGTAATGAATTATTTTTGTTTTATTTAAAAAAAAAAAAAAAGATTGCGCACGCTCGTCGAGGTGGACTCCCTGACACCTGACAGTGATCCCTTTGTAATGAATTATTTTTGTTTTATTTAAAAAAAAAAAAAAAGATTGCGCACGCTCGTCGAGGTGGACTCCCTGACACCTGACAGTGATCCCTTTGTAATGAATTATTTTTGTTTTATTTAAAAAAAAAAAAAAAGATTGCGCACGCTCGTCGAGGTGGACTCCCTGACACCTGACAGTGATCCCTTTGTAATGAATTATTTTTGTTTTATTTAAAAAAAAAAAAAAAAGATTGCGCACGCTCGTCGAGGTGGACTCCCTGACACCTGACAGTGATCCCTTTGTAATGAATTATTTTTGTTTTATTTAAAAAAAAAAAAACACATACCAAAAGAGTGAAAAATGAAAATAAAAATAAAAAAAAGAGAAAAATCTAGCAATATTCGACGGGCAAATTTGTCTTTTACACTAAAAATTATAATTATATATATATATATATTTTTATGTAATTTTTTGTATTTACATGAGCAGAAGCAGAAGAAGGCTGAAGAAAAGGGCGGGGAAGGGAAGGGGCAGCAGAAACCCTGGCGCCGCATCACAGCCGCTGGATGTGTCGGGCGGAGTCTTGGCTTCTCTGGTAATTCTCTTTGGCGCACTTTGAAGTTCTGTAAATGGGTATTTGAATATTTTGTTGTTTTTATGGAGTGGGGGGATCGGAAATCGGACCCACAGACCTGTGTGGGTGCCAATGGGTTTCACTGCAAACTACTTTCTGATCCAACAAGGCCTCTGTCAAGTTGCGATCACGGCGCACAGAGCGATAATGAGAGACATTTTGATTTTGTATTCCCCCTTTCTATCCCTAATCGACTGTGTTCTTCTAGATCCCACCCATTTTGGAATATATCCACCACCACCATTTTGCTTGCACGTTTGTAGAGAGAGATGGAAATGATTTCATTTAGATATGATTGGATCCGCATTAACATAAATACTCGTGACTTTACTTTGGATTTCTCAAAGAGTCTTCTTAACAATGGAGATGGTATTACTCACTTATAAATCCGACTCTCTCCCAAGAATCCTCAACAAGCAACTATTTGTTTACAAAGACCTCTCTGATTGCCAAAACTTCCATACACAAAGTGTCTCTGGTAATTTTGGACCGAACCCATTCCCCAAACAAAAGGTGGTGGTGTTAAAAGTTACTTTGTACACACTGGGATGATGGCGATGATGATGCCTGCAATGCCCAACAAAATTCCTCTCCTTTTCTCTCTCTTTTCCTATTCCTTTTCGCATCCTTTTTCTGTCTTATCTTCCCCATAATCGTGTAGTTAGTGCTTTTGATTTGCTTTCCTTACGCTATGATAATCACACTCCATTTGAGCTGAAACTAGCTAGCAGCAGGTTGAGGGTATGGAGAAAAGGTGTGGTTGTTGGGCTGTTTTGACTCGTACTGTTTCAGGTGTTTGCAAATCCTCTGCTTCTAAAGACTCTCCGAACAACATTCCTCGAACCAGCCTAGTTTATGATTCTGGTAACCCTCTATTTCTTTTTCCATATTCGGTTTGGATTCTATCTGGGGTGTCAAAATTTGTGTTCATGCAAAGCTCGAGTCCTTTGGTTGTCTTCTCATGTTCATCTATGGCTTGTAGGCTGTGAAAAGAAGACTTATTGTTCTTAAGAAGATACTGACCTTTTGTGATTGCAGCTACTGAAACACGGTGTTTAAATGCTAGCAACAGGGAACTCTCTACCTCGAATGAAGCTGAGCTAGCCTCTGATAATGCCAATCCATCACCATCAGACAACAAATCAACAAGCAAACTACTTCAGTTCTCTTTTCATGAGCTGAAGGCAGCAACAGGAAACTTTAGACCTGATAGCATTCTTGGGGAAGGTGGATTTGGATTTGTCTTTAAAGGATGGATTGAAGAGAATGGGACAGCCCCTGCAAAACCCGGATCAGGAATTACAGTAGCTGTTAAGAGCTTGAAACTAGATGGTCTTCAAGGCCATAGAGAATGGGTGGTTAGTAGAACTTTCTGCTTTGGGTTCGTGAAGGCTTACTTACCTTATAAAGGGGACCTGTTGGGGAGTGCTAACGTAAAATATGTTCTTGGTTACAGGCTGAGGTTGTCTTTCTTGGACAACTTCACCATCCAAATCTTGTGAAGCTTATAGGTTACTGTAACGAAGATGATCAACATTTGCTTGTTTATGAGTTCATGAGCCGTGGAAGTCTGGAAAACCATCTTTTCAGAAGTAAGAATCTCTATCTCTTAGTTACAGACAAGGTGTTGGGGTACAGGTGCTTATATTCATGATTGGTGCAGGGATTATTCCTCTTCCATGGTCCAATAGGATTAAGATTGCCCTCAAAGCGGCAAAAGGATTGGCCTTTCTTCATAATGCCCCAGTACCTGTTATCTATAGAGATTTTAAGACATCCAATATCTTGCTTGATTCGGTCGGTTCCATCGGTTCCAAATGACAATGCTCCAAATGTTTTGAGTAATTTCTTTATCTCATTATACATATGACCTTTGTTTACAGGAATACAATGCAAAGCTTTCAGATTTTGGCTTTGCGAAAGCAGGGCCTCAAGGAGACAAAACACATGTTTCTACCAGGGTAATTGGGACGTATGGCTATGCTGCTCCTGAATATGTAATGACAGGTAGATAACTTAGAAGATGTTTTAACTACATGACACCCCTTGATACTAAATTGTTTGTGTGAGCCTTCGTGGAGGAATTTTAGTCGAAACCGAGAATTGAATCTTACGTAATGACTGATATCTGACATAACTTCCAACTTTTGTTGATTTGATCACAGGACATCTGACGTCGAAGAATGATGTTTATAGCTTTGGTGTTGTGCTTCTTGAGATTGTAACAGGGAGAAGATCCATGGACAAGAAACGTCCGAGTGGGGAGCAAAACCTTGTGTCATGGGCTCGGCCATATTTAGGCGATAAAAGAAAGCTATATCATATAGTGGATCCCCGCTTGGAATTCAAGTATTCCATTAAAGGGGTGCAGAAGGTCTCCCAGCTTGCTTGCAGTTGCCTGAGCAGGGACCCGAAACTACGTCCGACCATGGACGAAGTTGTGAAGACCCTGACTCCGTTGCAAGATCTCAACGACTTTGCCATCCTAACATCTCACTGCCGCTTATCTTCTTCACAAGGGAGGTACAAGAAGAAACCTGAAGGCCTAACCTACTCCCAAAACTTCAGAGCTTCTCCATTGAACATCGGAAAGCAGCATGTAAGGTGATCAATCTCCAAATCCTCTCTGATAATAAAAGGTAAACAGTGATCAGAAATGTTCATGTTTAGCATTTCAGAGGTTGATTAGGAGAGGAAATGCGAAATATTAGCTTTACTACACAATTAGATCTTCCTTTGTGGGTCTGCCTTACCTTGTAAGTGACTTGTAACTTTAGGTAGACAAGACCTTCCAGTGCCTAGGGTGTCATATTTGCAGTATCTTTCTTAAACATCTATGGGAAATATTAACCTTAGCAAGTTATCACCATTCCTTTCAATCAGCAATGGAGAATATGAACACTATATGAAGATTCTAATCATGTTTATTTCTTTAATATGTCTCATCACAATAAATTTATAAAAGAATCATATCTGACTTTAATCGTTTCATCAATCATTATTTCAAAGATTCATAAATACTAGAAACCATGTAATTGAAGGCTTACCCCCAAGAGGAAAGTAGAAGTTGGTGGTAATTGATGTTCATTCCGATACATGTAGATAGGCAATGATATTCATTATTTCAGATTTAGAAAATGTATCAATTTCAGATCACTTGGGCATTTTCATTGCCATTCTTCCTGTACCTTAGAGACCGATCTTGTAAAGGACTATATTTCTGAATTGAGAGAAAGAAAAGTACAGTCTTGAGTGGCAGAAATGAAATGAAATTCGTACTGTTTATATTATACCAAAACTTCCAATTTAACATCAGAAAAAGACCCATCTGATCACTTCATAATAATTCACACGCCCAAAACCTTCTGACCACTTTATACCGGAAGCCGTTCAACCCGCTTACCTTGCTCAATCTATTTATTCTTTGATGGGACATCTCAAATCCACAGATTCTTGCCACAAATTAAGCTACACGGTTCACAAAATGCAGCTTCATGGGGGAATATATAACTAGTTAATTACTCGATCAAATACAATACCAAACTCAATGTCACAAACAACCGACAGAAAATAAGTTTAAGGAATTATTTAATAGCTGAACTATCTTTTCAAGTTTTCAAAATTTGGTTGGATCTTGAAAACAACTCTAAAAAATGGGCGGATAACAAGAAATTTATGGATGAGCTTGTAATGCTTATAGCCTAAACAAAGTTCAGGAAATACCTTATCAACATCTATGATTTCAAACTGTTTGATACGTGATTTGTCGTCGATCAGCTTGTAATGCTTATAGCATAAGCAAAAATGACACCGCACATGTGGCCTGCAATTGAACCAAATAAACAATTGAACACACTTTCATTTTCAATTCAACATATTAGATTAATATGCGCGGTTCAGTACTCCAAATCCCCCGACAGCTTACCAAGAAATCTTGTCATCTTCTTTATTCATCGACATTCCACAGAAAACACTCTCCACCGCGTCTCTAACTGCTGCCACCGTCGCCGTCCTTGCAACTCGCACCTAGGACCATAGGTCCTGACTTTCTACGCTACCAATGGTAATCAAATCAATTCAATATATCCAGTCCAAAGGCAGAACATTCAAACGTTTTTTAATAGCATTCTCACATCAACATCAAAACATTCCCGACTATACTCGTATCAGATCGCTCACAAAAACGTTCGTCTAACACAACAAAATTTGCAACAGAGTTATATATGAACCAATACAAAAAGTGGAAAAATTACCGAAAGAAGAGCCGTCCAATTTTAGCACGGAGAGGAGGAGGAGGAGAAGCTGCGGCGGTAGCCTCTTGTAGCGAAAACTGTTGCTCCGAGCAAGAATCCGAAACATAGGGCTCAATACGAGACATGAATAGACCTGAACTCAAAATTTCAGAGACTAGAAAGACGAATAATGGAGAATTAGAGTTATGAATCGAAGAAGGTATTGATTTTTGAAGATCAGAGCGTGGAAATCCAAATGCAATTTTCAGTGAGGTCTAGGGTTTCGAAAAATTGCGAAGGGACATTCTGGTTTGTTCGTTGGTTTAGCTGTGAAAGCGGGAAGCGATTATTTTCCTTTTGTACCTTTTTTTCCCCATATTCCACGTAATTAAAATATTTTTGCATCTTTTAAAAGAAAAAAAAATAAAAATCGATTAAATACAAATTTAAAAATTTAGAAAGTTATTAAATAAATTTAAATATTAAGATATCTATTAAACAGTAAGTTAACCCTTATGATCAATTCAAAATGAATATTTATGAAATATTTGGAAATATAAATATTTTAATTTAAGTACAGAGGTTTGTATTTTAAATTTATATGTAGAAATTAAAAATCAATTTAAATAATTTTTTTTATTTCATTTAAATATTATAATGCATCAATTCAATCATATATTATCTGTCTAGTATTAAATTTTGATATATTGTGTTATTTTTCAACTCACCAACCAAGGTCAAGAAAAGGTATTATTATAATTGAACTACAATTAACATTTTGTATATACTATATTCATGCATGCACATGTGTAGAGATATGGGTAGAGATGGCACCATTAAATATAGTAGCAAATGATTCATGTACCTGAGTTTCAGGTCGGTGATAAAATAAAAATCCAAACATTAACCGTCTCATACGATCCGTTCCAAATGAATCTAAAACATGTTTCGTTGATGACGATGATTCGTTGGCCTATAAGGGATAGTGAAGAAAGAAATAGTTGATAGTCGAAAAATAAACCAATTTGAGCATAGTTCAACTAGTTAAGACATACCTTCTCGATAAACAAAAGAAAAAAAAAAAACAGGGTTACGAAATTACACAGAAACCCTAAACATACAAAGAGAGCAACATGATACAAAAGTGATATTGGCGCGGCTCAATCAGAGATCGTACTTCACAGTCCTTGTGAAATTCGTCTTCAGATTGAACCTCACCAACATCGCTTTCGGATTTTCGTATCGATTTCTCTCCGCTTCCTACTTCTCACACATCTATATATATATATATATATATATATATATATATACACAAGAAAGGAGGGGAAGGAGAGAGGTTTGAAAGCAAAATGTCTTTTTGGGTATAAAAAGGTGTCCACTTACCAACCAAAAAGAAGAAAGAATTATTGAGTGAAACAGTAGCAGAAAATTGGACCCATTTTGAGGCACCAAAAGGACAACAAAATGAACAACTTTTGGGTATGTCAAATGGAGTAGGAGGAGGTAGGATACTCAAAGGCATTGGACGCGTCATTTTGTTGACACGGTCAGTGTGTCGACCATCGTCGCTCTGTTTGGTAGCATCGGGGCCGAAAAGGGCATGAAAAAAGGGAGTAATGAAGAGAAGTAGGAGGGAATGGGATGGCATATAATGGGGTTTTTGTAGGGTTTTAAGGGCGTTGGGGGATGGAGAAGGGGTTGATGAAGAAGGTGAGGGAAATGATTTGAAGGGTTTTCTTTTGTTTTGGTCATGCTTGGTTTGTACTCAATTAAAACCATACTTTCTTCTCTCTTCTGCGCATGCATCTGAAAATATTCTTCCACCAAAAAGCCCTTTAAAATCCTCAACCAAAAACCCTTTTCATTGTGCCTCTCTTTCTAGGACTAATATTATTTTAATACCCACTTTTTCATAAGTGCTTCTTCCATTTCATTAAGCCCTATGCCCAACAGAGAATAACATACTTGGCTTATTACCCTTACCCTTACCCTTACCCTTACCCTTACCCTCCCATCATATATCTTACGTTATCTATTCAATATAGGTTAATATCTAAGTGTCACGGTTTCATTTTTAGGGTTTTTTTTTCGAGCAATTACGGTAGAGATAGGAGAAGTTGAATGATCGATCTCGAGAAAACAAGTTTATAACAACTCAAGTTCACTGTTTGTAGATATTGTTTTCTTTGAGCTTTCCCTTTTGGGTTTTCCCTTTTGGGCTTCCCTTCAAAGTTTTTAAACTCGGTTTGTTTGGAAGAGATTTCCATACCCTTATAAAGAATGTGGGATCTCATAATTCACCTTCTTTCAGGGCCTAATGTCCTCGCTGTCACTTGTTTGTCTCTCCCATCGATGTGGGATCTTATAGAGTATGTGACATCTGAGTAAAGGAAAGGTAAGTGACTGAACCAAGACCACGTTTTAATAAGAGTAATTCTAAAGATGGGTACTTGAGAAAATCTTCAAAGAAGTGACTTTACTATCTATACCAAAACGTGCAATTTCTTTTCCAGTGTCTCAATCATAGAAGTGATCCTTATTGATTCGTGGGGATGGTAGTTTTTACTCATAAAAGTGACGAGTAGGTAACGTAATCATGCAACAAGAGATGGAGAGGAAAGCCAAGCAATGAGGCATGGAATCCGAATTCAAATCTTGAGCACGAGACATTACACGATACACGTTCATATGATGTCGAAAAAGAAGGAAGAGTAGTAATGTTAGATAGATAGAGAGACATGGAAGGCCCGCACACTCACAAACACACACAAAGAACGAGGCATAACTCAAGCCCTTCTTCAACCTTAACCGCAGACACCGCCGGGAAAGCAGCCTTGCCTTGAGCCTCCATTAGGGAACACCTTCATTGAACTTTGCTCTTTCTTTCTCTCTCTCTCTCTTTATTATTAAAACTTGACATCTTTCTTCTTCTTCTTCTTCTTCTTCTTCCTCTTCACTAAGATTTTGGTCTTTTCAAAGCCAAATAAAAGTTATTTAAAGCCTTCTCTCTCTAGATTTGAGGCAATAAGTTGGCGTGCCACCTACCCCAACCAGATTCCCTCACGCCTTAAACCAATATTTTTTCCCCATTCTTTCTCATCAGATCCTAGGACCTTCAAATTAATGGGTCTTTTTTCTTCTTCTTTATGTGGGGGGAAGACGAAATTATTGCATGAAACAAAGGCCGAAAAGGGTCATGACCCAATGACCCAAGAATTCTGACATGGGTTCAACTCAGCATTGCATTTCTAGGACCAATTCAAACATAGTTCAGGGACTCAATCAGAATGTAAGTCAACTCATCGTCATCGTAAATATAAAATGTTGTTTTTTCGAGTAGAAACAGATCTTTAATCTTCGAGATCTTGTATACCCATATGCCAAAATCTTGTCTTTTTAAAAGATATGAATGAAAGAAGGTAGGGGAAAAAGAATGGTAAGAAAAAGCCATGAACTTGGCTGAACAAGTATGAGGGTTTTGAATAGAAGATTAATAATTAGGGCAAGAAAAAGCACACAAATATATAAATAAATAAATAAATGAAGGGAATTTGCATGAAAAGGAGACAAGAAAGAGACCATTTGTTCCCCCACACGAGCACTCACACAAGCACATCGGCAGGCTTTTTGAATTCTCCCAACACTCAACACACACATTCTATTCTAAACCCTTTTTCTTTCCCTTACTTTACTTTATTCATTACGTTATGGGGATGCTCAATTTTCCTCTCCCTATACTATATGCCACATCGTTATTTTATAATTTTAATTTTTTTTTAATATTTTCTTCGTCTTCTCGAGTTTCAATTATGACGCTTGAGCTGAGAAGGGATACATGAGACTGAACGAGAGAGATATGAAAGATTTACAAGTGTTGGATGATGAAAGTCCCACGTCCACTAATTTAGGGAATGATAAACAAAGAATATACTCTTCATTGGTATGAGACATTTTGGGAAAGTCCAAAGCAAAGTCATTAGAGCTTATGCTCAAACTGGACAATATCATAACATTGTGGAGAGTCTTGATTTCTAACATGGTATCAGAGCCATATCCTAAACTTAGTCGTGCAGATTGGTAAATTCTCAAATGTTGAACAGAGGACCCCAAAAGAAAAAGGAGACAAGCCTCCTCGAAGGTAGTAAAAAATGACTAAGACTCCAAAGGAGTCGAGCCTCGATTAAGGGGAGGCGTGCTTTGTTCAAGAGGAGGTGTTGGAAGATGAAAGTCCCCCCGTCGGCTAATTTAGGGAATAATCATGGGTTTATAAACAAAGAATACATTCTTCATTGGTATGAGGCCTTTTGGAGAAATCCAATGCAAAGGCACGAGAGCTTATGCTCAAAGTGGACAATATCATATTATTGTAGAGAGTCGTGTTCGTTTAACAATATGTATTATTGAGAAATACATAAAAAATTTTAATGTTTATATTAATAAGACACCTTTCTATTTGATGGTTGAATCGTATGAACTTTAAAATTAAGCGTGTTTGGCTCGTAAAAATCATAAATCCTAATGATTAATAGGATAAGAAAATCAAATAACTGTATCAACATCAAGTACATGCGAGATAAATTTTAATATTTTAGGTTAAAGATTTTGTACATGTAAAATGGGCCGAAATTGAAAAGGCTGATCGAACCTCAAATGAGCCGGCTCAAGACAAACGGTCTGAATGGAACTGCATTCACGGGTTGATACCTCAGTGAAGCTTTTAGGCCCAATATCTATGGAGTCCAGCTCACTTGTTATGTTCAAATGGGCTGGACCATTACACGTGGGCTTTGCCCCAATCAACTCCGGACGTGGACCAATCAAACTGTCCTCATCTTTGACTAAAACGCAAACTCCCTTTCCGACGTGTACCGTCTTTCGTTGTGCTGCGTCACGTGTTTTGTGACACGTGATGGGTCAACGGACCACTTGGTGCGTCACTTCCACGTGTGTTGTATGGCCTAATTCTTAATGAACTTTATTAAATTTTCATTAATTATTTTCAATGGAGAATTCTCTTACGGTTCTTTCTCCTTTAATTTAATTTCAGATGTCGATTTTCTGCCTCCTACACAGGATCATATTAAAATAAAATAAAAATTAAATTAATAATTTAATTTTTATTATAGATGTGTTCGAAATCAATTATTATTGAATCAACCCCATAAATTATCACTATATACATAGATTTTTGCATTTGTCAACTTTTCGTCTTGCTTGTTGATCTTATTAAAATTCTAAGTGGCAGATCTCGAGACTCTTAAATAGGTTAGCCTTTTAAATTGCTTCGTAATGCATAGATGAAATGATGTATAATTGCAACGAATCCATTTTCACA